AAGTAGGTGCTTTAGACCACTGAGCCATCTCACCAGCCCCAAGACACAGGGTTTTAAATGTGTTCTGTTTTCACAGCCTTTGCAAGCGTATCCCAGTACTGGCTTGCTTCAGGCTTTTTTCTTTTCTCCCATCCTACTGCAAAGCTTAGGGGCTGACTAGAGATGGGAAGTGTCCCACCAGCCTCTTGTCTAGCGGAGGAGACCCCAGAACTGGATAAGTTTATGGTATTCTCTGTGAAATATTAAGCCCCATGTAAATGTCCAATGCCCAAATGTCCAATGCTTTAATTTTTTTTTTGGGGGGGGGGTCTAATGATGACTTAACACTTTATTTTTTAATGGAAATGCCATTATAGTAAAACAAATAACCAATTCTATATTGAGTATAGAATAAACTGATGAAAGGGAATTTTCTGCTGTTTTTGATCAGCGTGATGAAAATTTGGTGCTTGAAGATATGAGCCAGACATCTTTGGAAACACCAAATAGAGAAGCTGCTAAGAGCCGAAACCTGCCTAATGCTGTCATCAGAGATCTGCCACCTGCTGACCAGTCCCTGCAGAAGGAGGTTGTTGTGTGATGCTGCTTTACTGCGTTGTGTTCATGCTGTCTGTGGTTTGCTGGGGGAAGACACCTTACCACCCGAGAAAGTAGCCATCTTCACTAGACGCACTTGTCTTTTTTCACTTAATATTAGGGTTTTGAACCAAACTTCAGAGGAGAACAACAAGCCAAATTATAATAATTTGAGAGGATAGTTCTTTTTGAGGAAGTAATTTGATTATGTGGAAATGAAAGATATAGTATAAGATAAGGGAAATATTTCCATTGGATAGTTTTTGTTTGTTATTTTTTTTCGTTTTTTGTCTTTTTGAGACAGGGTCTCACTATGTAGTTCAGGCTGGCCTTGAGTTCACTTGTAGTCCAGGCTGGTCTTGAACTTGCAGTGATCCTCCTGCCTCAGCCTTCTGAGTGCTGAGATTACAGGCATGTGCCACCATGCCTGGTTCTCTATTAGGTAGTTTTAAGACATTATTATGCCACGTTTGGCTAATATGTGCCACACAGGTGGAGTATTCCTTTTATGTGGTCTTTTGAAGTAATTTTGTAGTTTTGTAGTATAGAATTTTTCACGTGTGTCATTAGGTTTGCCCTGAAGAACTTTCAGATTTGGGAACATTTCAGATTTCAGATTAGGAGTGCTTTAGCCCGTATGAATTTAAGTATATAATTTTCCTCAGGGAATGGGTTTGCAATTTTGTTGCTTAGAAATAGTGCCCAGGCATATTTCTCCTGGGTTTTTAAATTTATTTATTTTTTGTTTTTTCTCTCAAATCTTAAATTTTCTAATTGGTTCTGATTTGGAGCTATAAAAGATTAAAAATAAAACTATTTTTACTTAGGGAAAGCTGTGAGTCTCTGCAAGTTGACTCTAGTACCATACACAGTTTCCCAGTCTGAGATTCCCTAGCCCCAGAGTAGAACTTGAAGGGAGTAATCAGGTAGTTAAACTTTACTGTCATTTCAAAAGTGAAATGAACTTTATGGACTAATTAAAAATTTGATCTTTTTTGATGTAGTTTGGTCTGGCCTTAAGTATACTGTGTAGCTCAGCGTGATGAAAGGATTATAGGCATGAGCGATTATGCCTGCCAAAAATTTGAAATTCATTCATTCTTTCTTTTAATAACCCTCATGCTGATGGGAAATTCTGGTTGACAGTTGTGTACTCGTGATACCAAGGAAAAGCAGATGGGTTATTTTGTAAATGGAAGTCATGTTTGTTAGAATAGTGTAAGAATGGAGTCTGGTGGCATTAAAAAATAAAAAGAGGGTCCTTGAAAGTGAAGCTCTTAATAAGAATTAATGTTATAAGAGCTAATGGTCTCAACATTTGATTGCATTTTCTTTTCTTTTTTTTCTGTGGTTTATTTATTTGTTTATTTATTTATTTATTTATTGTGTGTGGCCAGCTCAGCCCGCCCGGAGGCGGGGCTGGCTGGCATGTGGTGCTGGGGGATTGAACCGTGGTCTATGTAGGTGCTTTAGACCACCGAGCCATCTCACCAGCCCAAATGGAATAAGGGTTTTTGTTTTTTTTTTCCTCGAATGCCTTCAGGGCACTTTTGGCCAGCGGGAGAGGTTCGAACTCCAGGAACCTGAGGCTGACAGCTTTGTGGAAGTAGCCACTTAAAGGACTGAGCTAGGGCCAGGCCCTCTTTTCTGTGTTTTTGAGACAGGGTCTCAGTATGCCTCTGAAGTGCTGAGATCACAGGTGTGCAACACCATGCGTGGCCAACATTTGATTTCTTAGTAGATTAACAGAAACAGGAAAACACGAGTAAATGACAAAAGCAACCAAAGCAAATGGTTGCTCCCCAGTCCCCTAGGAATGTCAATGAGGAAAAATAAAAAATGGTGTTCACTGAAATGTATATCTATGTATTAAACAATTGTGGGGGGCTGGGGAGATGGCTCAGTAGAATAAGCGCTTGCCTGGCAAGTGCAAGGGCCTGAGTTCAATCCCCGGTTCCACAAAAAAATAAATAAATAAAAAATTGTGGGATCTTACTGAACTTTATTCATGTTAATATTTTTCCTTGTTTCTTTACTTTTACTTTTTGATTGCTTGTTTTGTTTTTTTTGCGGTACTGGGGATTGAATTCAGGACCTTGCACTTGTCAGACAGGTGCTTTCCTTGTTTCTTTAAATACTACATTTTTATGTCTGAGAACATAGATTGGTAGCTGTCACCTCAAATCCTGGTTTTATGATGTATTGTTAGCACAGGGTTGCTTATCTGAAGCTGTTTAGTGAACTCTCATTGCCTTCCCTTGGGCCTTTCCTTTTCGTCCCTGGGTGCTGAGCCAGGGCCTTGCACATGCTAGTCCAGGGTTCCACCACTGAGCTACACCCCCGCCACAGCTCTCGCTTATACTGAAATCCATAAGAGCTTTTCTCATTGCAATTATTTATAAAGGCTTCTTGAACTTGTTTATATTCCTTTCACCAATATTTGTATTCCTTCAGGTTCCTGACTTACCTGAAGAACCTTCTGAAACAGCTGATGCGGTAAGCTTATTTATTTTCAAAAAATTGTATTTTCCATTTTATCTAACATTAAGTAAATATATCTTATCTAAACTTAAGAGAGAAAAAATAGCATGTTCATGTGATTGCATGGTAATTAAGTGTTGCTCTGAATATGGCATAATTTCAGATTGCTCAGCTGAGTCCTATTTTGGAAGCCTTCTGTTGGCTGCATTGTCTTTTAGAGCCCACTCACTGCCTGAGGCAGAGATAGATTTTTTAGAACTTTATGCCAGCAGTGAAGTGTTCATTAAAACAGAACCAAAATAGGCAGAAGCTTCAAATTATTAACTGTTGTTTAGAGATGAAGATGGTGGCTACTTATTTTTTCAGCATGGCTTGCCATTATGGGGGTGGGTGGGACTGACCCCTTCCCACACTGAGCTACCCTCCTCCCGGCTGCTATGTTTTCATCTGTACTGCTTTCCTGCCCGGGCTAGCCTAGTTAGACCCTTGTCAGATGCAGGGGAAACATATCCACAGCCTATTAGTCATTTGGGCAATAAGTCCAAAAGGAGAACTGTTTAGCTTTCTATTTCTCAGAGGTTAGCAACTATTATACTGTACTTCTTAGAAAACTTATTCGAATCAACCTTGAAGGCAGTTGCAAGGGTCTTATATTTTCTGACACATAGTTTAGTACTTTTTTTTTGGTATCAGGAACCGAATTCAGGACCCTGCATTTGCCAGGCAGGCACTGTGCCACTGAGCTATATACCCGACATGGTTTACTACTTTGGATAGCTGAGAAAATCTGTAAATCATCCAAAGATAAAGTGAGCAATATAGATCTGAACTCCTAGGAGAAAAGTTGGTTTTTGTTTGTTTTGAGATATTTTCACTATGCAGTTCAGGTTGGCCTTGAACTCACTTTTTTTTTTTTTTTTGTGGAACCAGGGATCAAACTCTGGACCTTGTACTTGTCAGGCACAGCTTATACTGCTAAACTATCTTCCTGGCCCTTGAATTCACTTTTTAGCCTGGGCTGGCCTTAAGCACACAGTAGTCCTCCTGCCTCAGTTTCCTGTGTGTGGTAATTACAGTTTGCACCAGCACACTTAGATGTTTTTAAACTTCAAATTTCTTGTTATACTGGACAGATCCATGCGTTAAATATGTTGGCCTGATCACCACCTCTCAAGATGCTCTGGTATCCATGGCAACCATTTTATAGCACAAGTAATTAAATATAGCTTCAGGAAACATAATTTTTTAATTTACCCTGGCTTTGAAGCATGTGCTGTTGTTCCTGTGGAACAGCAGTTTATCACCAAAGGTCCACAGATTACAAACCTCAGGCTGTGAGGGAATCTTTTGAAACTGTACGTTTTTCTGGTCATAGGTAGCTTTTTTCTTCAGATTCTCAGGTTAGTGAGCCTGGAAAGGCTAAGAAATATTGGGATATTTTGATTTTAATGGACTGTTCTCAGCAATTAACCACTAGGAAGAATGTATGCAATGTGTTAATTATTGAAACTGTCCTACCAATTTGGTTTGAAACTGTCTCATTGCTGTTTGTTTCTCAATAAAATTATGGAAAAAAAATAGAAAAAAAAATATATATATATAATTAGGGAAATTATTTCACATGTGATCTCTCTTTTACAAGTGCCTCATTTTGTATACAAGGAGAGAGATTATTAACCTTATTTTCTTGGAATTTGGGGTTGTTTCACTTATTACAATGAAAATATACTGTTTTGTCATTTAAAAGAAGACTGAAATGAAAAATCTTTTGAGGAAAAAAAAAATGGACTGTTCTGTGGGCAAGGCATTTTCTCTCTGTGCAGTTACTACTGCATGTTTCCAAGACTTCATTGCAGCAGTCCTTAGTGCCCCATTCACCATCACAAGCCTGGATGACTTCAGATGTCCTCTTCTGTCTTTCAGTGATTCTTCTTTTCTACTCATGGACCTAGAGCTTTTCATTTCTAGTCCCTATGATGAATGCTATCACTATGTATATATAAAATGTACCAATAAAAAAATTCAAGGAAAAAAAAAAGCTACCTAAGTTTTATGATATATAGGTAAAAGAATAGTTTTGCTTTTAAGAATACTGGAAATAATTTCTAGGAAATTCTATTATTATTTTTTGGAACTGGGAATCAAACTCATGACCTTGTGCTTGCCAGGCAGGCTCTGTGCCATGAAGCTACATCCCTGGCATCTGTTGCCTTATTAAAGTGAGATGTACTGTATGGGAGCATTCACAAATAGAGGGACATTTTCATAATTATGCTTTGTTTTTAGGGGAAAAGGACTAACACTCATTTTAAAGGATATCAGAAATAGATGAAGCTTTCACTATCATCTATCTATATCAGTGTTTTTCTCCATATGAAGTAACTGTGACTATAATAAGCACTATCAGAAAATTCCTGTTACTGGAAGCCTGCATGAAAAGGAACAGACTAACAGATGAGGGAAATAAGGACTAATGTGGATTTTTTTTTTTTTTTAATATATTTGATTCAGGGTCTCACTACCTGGCTCAGTGCGGCCAGGGATGGGGCCAGTGCGGCAATTGAATCCTGGTCCCTGTGCTTGCGTAAGCAGGTGCTTAGTCCACTGAGCTATCTTGCTGGCTCTCTAAACATGAATTTTTGATGGTGGAGGGTGGGTTCTGGAAACTAATGCAGTACTTAAGCAGTACACCTGATTTAAGTGGTTAGTATGGTAGTTATCTACAGAATTCTAAAATACGGAGATAGGGCTGGGGAGATAGATCAGTGGCTTAAGTGCCTACCTGGCAAGCGCAAGGTCCTGAGTTGGATCCCTGATTTATTAGATTTTTCAATCTGAGAGGAAATAATCAGAATATAGAACTCATCAAATAGTCCCTACATGTTACTGTTCTGCTTTTATTTTTATTATTTTAATGTATTTAGTATAGAGTCTATAAGGTCTCACTACACAGATCCAACTTGTAGTGATCCTCCTATTTTCAGCCTCCCAAATGCTGGGATTACAGGTCTGCACCACCACGCCCAGTCTCAGTTGCCAGCTCAGTGCGCCTCAAGGGCAGGGCCGGCACAGCAGGCAGGGAATGGAATGGTGGTCCCCAAGTCTGCCTAAGCAGGCACTTTAATCAGCTGAGCTACCTGGCTGGCCCTTGTTCTGCTTTTAAAGACCGTAACTTTACATTTTAATTTGAAAATAATTGTGTAAATTGTCATGTTATAATATTACTACAGCAAGTATTTTCATTATTGGGATGCTGCCTTAAATTTTAATTTTAAATTTCACTTAACAGTCTGCATTTGGGACACTGATTGGTTGGGGGGTTGTTGTTGGCTTTTCTTTTGTTGGCTTTCTGTTCTTTTGAGACAGGGTCTTACTATGTAGATCAGGCTGACCTATCTATATATAGGTCTATTATAGGCCTGGCTGGTCGTCCTCCTGACTCAGCCTCTCAAGTGCTGAGATTACAGGCGTGCGCCAACACATTTGCTTAGAACATAGATTTTTTTTTTCCAGTATGAATTACAACTCCCACATTTTAGCTGTTTGTCAGCCTACTATATTGTCAGTAGTAGTAGGAGTTTTACAGCCAGCCTTCCTAGTAATAGAGTAATTACTGAATTTCAATTCTCTCAAATATTTGTCATAATGAAAAATATTCACTAAATTTTAATCTTAGTTTCTCATAAGGCAATTGGCTTTAATTTTCTTGTCAGATTATTACAGTTTAAACAAAACTTTAATGTAAAAATTTTGTTTCTTCAGCCAAACTTGGTTTTTAAAAATATGATTCAGTTATTTTGTTTTATTACAGAATTTTTTCCTTAATAGAGATCATGTGTTCAGCTTTTCCCTGATTTTTGAAAAAAAATTTATTAGTACATGTTTGCAGTATAATGATTACATTTATTATGGAGAGAACATTATACTGATCTGGATGTAAATCAGATATCTAAGCTACTTAAGTGGAAGTTTTTGTATGTGTGAAGCTGGGATTGGACTCAGCATCCCTAGTGGCAGGCCAGTACTCTACCACTGAGCACCCCGCTGGCGTGGATGCATTTGACTTTCCTGGGGGAGGCGCTGCTCTTAAACCCCACAGATACACAGCATGATGCCCAGTAGCTCCCAGGATGGTTGATGGTGTTAGACCTAAGAAAGGGTTTCTTGTCAGGTGTACAATGCATTTCAGGATAAATGCATTGTCCATATATATATATATATATATATGTATATTTATATAAAATTGTCTTGATATAGTAGCAGTTTGCAAGCTCTTTTTAGCTTGTTTTTTCTGTTCGTTTGGTTTTTGCTTTTAAATCAGCCAGAGGTGCTGCGAGGCACAGTGTTTCCTGAGCTCCGTCACCTAAGACCAACTCTGGCTGTGTCTTTGCTTGGAAAGACAGAGATGCTAGGCAGCCTGCTACAGCAGAGAGCTGGGTGGCTATGGCTTTCTTTACAATCTAGTGTTCTTCTTGTCTGCAGAATGTGAGGTGGCACTAGGTCCCCTTGGTGTGGTGGGTCACTTTTAAGGCCAGCTGCAATCTGGATAGTGTGCGGGCTGAAAGATGCATGTAGTCTCTGGAGTCCTCTTTGGAAGCCTGTTTCTGACCTCAGTAAGATGATGTTTGTTTTTAATTATTTTCAGTTATTTCTGTGTTTAAGGTGAACGTCATCTGAAAATGATGTTGTTCTATTAGTCTCAGAGCTAAATTCCTACAAATCTCCAAGTGAGCTTTTATGATTACAGATGTCTCCTAGGAGTAGTAATGAATATAAAGAATGGTGAATTGAGTTTTTGGTTTGGATTAGAATTCTGATCTGAGCATTTTATTTCCTCAGGTAGTTACTGTGGCTCTGCGATGTCCAAATGGGAGAATCCTGAGGAGAAGGTTTCTTAAGTCTTGTAGTTCACAGGTAAGTGAGAGAATTTGTATTTTGAGGTGGTGTTTTTTTTTAATTTATTTTTTTTTATTACTGAAGATCAAACTAAGGCCTTTTGTATGAAGCTACATTCACAGCACCCCCCCCCCTTTAAGTACAGGGTCTACAGGGTTGTACTACGTAGATCAGACTCATAGTGATCAGCCTGTGTTTAGCCTTCCAAGAGCTGGGATTATAGGTGCACCACCATGCCCAGTCTCAATCACTGGCTCAGTGCGACCCTGGGGCACGGCCGGCATGGCACGCCAGGAATAGAACTCCAGCTGCTGCATTCTGCCTAAGCAGGCGCTTTAGTCCGTGGAGCTATCTGGCTGACCTTACAGCCCTTTTTATATTATTAGTATTTTTAAAAATTTTGCAACAGGGTCTCACTAAGTCACCCAGGCTGGGCTCTAAACTTGCATTTCTCTTGCTGTAGCCTCTCAGAGTAGGAGTCACAGGTGTGTGATCAAAGGTTGTCTTACACAGGTTTGGGAAAGTAGACAGAGTCAGCTTTTGAGTTGCCTTCAAAGTTTGCTAAGTTCTTCACTTTAGTGTAATTATTTCCCCTCCTCCCTCTCTCCTCTGCTTTTTTTTTGTTTTTTTTTTGTTTTTTTTTGTTTTTTACAGTACTAGAAATTGAACATAAGGCCTTACACATTCTGGATCTCATACCTCAATTTGAAATAGGGTCTTGCTCAGTTGACCGGGCTGGCCTGATCTTGTGTCCCTCCTTCTCCTGGACTAGCTAGGATTACACCATACTCATCTTTACCACCTGTGTGTCTATTGGCATTCTCGTCTTCTGAGCTCTGCCCAGAATCTCCCATAAAGCTCAGTTGACGGCATTCTAGGCCTGCTTCAGCTGCCATCTCCAAACCTTTGCAAACGCCTTCCATGGACTCATTCCAGAGGCTCCTGAATCATGTGGTGAGGTAGTATCACAGCAACAATCCCATTTCTCCAATACTGAATTCTGTCTGTCGCTTGTCGCTGAAACACAATACCCCATACCCACAAATAAAAGGAGGGGAAGTTTGTAGAGGCTTGAGCCTATAGTTGGCTAAGGCAGGACAGCACGGCACAGAGGCATGGCAGAGGAGAGCCGCTCATAGCATGGGACACAGAATGTAGAGAACGTTGTTTTCCTTTAAAGTCTAGATGAAGTTTCTTCAAAAGATGGAAAGTTCCGTCTCATTACTCCTAGGCCATTTCACAGTGTAAAAGTTATTACAGTGATCCAAAGGAACACAAGTGTATATGGCATTTGGTGACAGTGAGCTTTTTATCTTCTAGGTCTTGTTTGCCTGGATGATGAAAACTGGGTACCACACATCTCTGTACAGCCTTTTTACTTCCTTTCCCAGAAGACTTCTAGAAGTGGAGGGAGGCTGGTCACTGGCTGATATAGGAATAACTATGGATACTCTGCTCACTGTGGGAGAGAAAGAACACAGCAACTAGTAGAGATGAGAACTACCTGTTCTAAATAAAATTGGTTACATTATGATTTAACTGTTCAATAATAGATTCATGTTAAAATCATACTGTACCTTAAGCATAAGACAGTAGACATTTTAAATGATATACATAAGAATATATTAATGTAAAGAATTTTAAAGGATTCTTCTATGAAGGTAAATTTTGGGATGTGTCATCTTATACCAAATAGGAATGGGGTAACAAATGTATACAAAAAGGCACTCAATTTATATTTCTTCCCAACTGTCATGCTTTTTTTTTTTTTGCTTTTTGAGACAGGGTATCATTGTGCAGTTCAGGCTGGTCTTGAGCTTACTTTGTAGCCCAGGCTGGTCTCAAATGTGCAATGGCTCTCCTGCTTCAGTCTCCTGTGTGCTGGGATTATAGGTGTGCACCACCACACCGGGCCCCCAACTGCCATTTCTCTGTATGTTAAAAAAACAGAGTCATAGGGCTTTGGTTTCTGTTTCTTTGATGCTACTTAACTACGCAGTGACTATTTTTCAATTCTTTCAAACCTTTCAAAATAATGTCAAGTAGGAATCTTTTTTTTTTTTTTTTCAGAACCAAGAATTAGAACTCAGGCCCTTATGCTTGCCAGGAAAGCACTTATTCCACTGAGCCACCTCCCCAGCCCAGGAATCTTTATTCTACAATATTTTTAGAAATTAAACGCTGAAGTTCCTTAAGGCTTTTTTTTTTTTTTTTTTTGCAGAACTAGGGATTGTACTCAGACCCTTGGCTTGCCAGGCAAGCACTTTTTCTTTCTTTCTTTCTTTTTTTTTCTCGGAACCGGGGGTTGAACTCAGGCCCTTATATTTGCCAGGGAAGCGCTTATTCTACTGAGCCATCTCCCCGGCCCCCTGCAAGCACTTATTCTACTGAGCTATTTACCCAGCCCTTTCCTTAAGGCTTTAAAATTAACACTGACGTGTTTTGAGACTTTACTGTTCTTTTGAAGGGTACATACTACTGTTTATTTATCTGCAGTGTCGGCAGTGCATATGATTTTTACCTTGTATTAATTGCAATATTTATAAAATTTCAGGTGGAAAACTATGAAAACATTAAAACATTGAATTTTTTAGCGTATCTCAGCATTTCCTTTTTATGCTCATGAACCTTGTCTCAGTTACTTTTTATTCCTTGCTGGGACAAATATCCCACACTCAAAATGAAGGAAGGAAAGGTTTATTTAGCTCACAGTTAGTGGAGGTTTTAGTCCATACTCTGCTGACTTTAAGGCAAATGACAACAGTTTATGGCGGCAGAAAACAACGAAGAGCAGAGGAGCAGCAGCTGCAGCGTCTGCGAAGCCTCTCTTTTACACTGACTGCGAAGACTGGAGCTCCTCTGAGAAAGCGGGCAGTGGCTGCTGTGAAGATCCGAACTCCTCCAAGGAAGTGGCAGAGAAGCTGTCTTCAACCCCTTTATATGTCCTTTTTGTGCTGAGTCACTCTAGGGTGGCAGTCCCTGCCCTAGGGTGGGCCCCCTCACACCCCAGGGCATCAAATCACCAAACTGATCCAGCCAAGCTTCCCACATCTCAAGTTGACACAACGTATCAACCACCACAAACCTATTAATAGTACACTCATGAACTATAATTACCATGTTGAAACCTTGTATAAAAGGCTATGAACTTTGTCATTCATTTCCCATGTTCACCTCATTCCTTTTGGCTAACCTGACTCTGATTATAAAAAATTTCAAAACCTTGTAAGTAAAAAAATAAAACACCTTCCATAATCCTATACCCAGAAATAAGCATTTCTAGCATGGAGACTGTAATTCAGGCCAACAAGCTTAAGTACAACTTCATGAGAACATTTAGTACCACCTGGATAGGACGCTTCCAGGGGATCCTCATGCATCATGATTCGAGATTATAAATGCTTTGGGCAGCTGGGGTTTGAGTGTATTTGTAATGCAGCAATATGTTACATAAGGATTTGGGTACTGATCAGTGAGGTGTTACCATAACAAAATTCTAAAATGTTGCAGTGACTTTAGGGGCAGGACTAGGCTTTGAGGGGTATTAGTGGACGCCTGAAGTTTTGTTTTGTGAAACAAAACAACCTGATAAAGCTGCCAGGGGAGAGTTGGAAGAAGTTCAGAAAAACCAACCAGCACTGGAAAGTGGAAAATGCAGCTAATGAATTAACTGGTTTAGCTAAAAATACATTTGCAGTCAGAGCAGTGAAAGGGCCACTTTCTTCTTGGTGCTTACAGTAAAATAAGAGAAATGAGCTAAAGAAAGGATCGTTAAAAAACAACTGGGCAAAAACAAAAAAAAACAACTGGGCTCGGGCTGGGGAGATGGCTCAGTAGGATAAGCGCTTGACTGGCAAATGCAAGGATCTGAGTTCAATCCCCGGTTCCGCCAAAAAAAACAAAAACAAAAACAACTGGGCTTGGGCTGGGGAGATGGCTCAGTAGAATAAGTGCTTGCCTAGCAAGGGCAAGGGCCTGAGTTCAATCCCCAGTTCCGGAAAAAAAAAACAAAAAAACAAAAAAACAACTGGGCTCACCTAGAAGAAGCCAGCTTCTCCATTTAACAAATAATGTTAACATTAAATGGCTTCAGAGCAGAGATCAAACCCAGGGCATGCTTGGGCAAACATCAGTTAAAACTAAGTAAAGGTCTGCCTATAAAATCCTGGTTTAGGGCTGGGGAGATGGCTCAGTGGAATAAGCGCTCCTTGGCAAGCGCAAGGGGGCCTGAGTTCAATCCCTGGTTTCCCCCCCCCAAAAAAAAAAAAAAAAAAATCCTGGTCTAGGCCTGAGAAGTAGAAATGGTAATGCCATAGAATAAAATTTACAGAAAACTCAAAGTTTTAAAAACAATTACATTACCTGCTGTGTGTGATGGCCCCCAAAAGTAAGGCCAGGTACTAGGGACTGCTGAGGCAGGGTCACTATAGCCCAGGAGTTCAGGGCCAGACTGGGCAGCAAGATCTTGTTTCTAAAAGTAAGAAAATAATCACATCAGTAGCAACGTGGTCAATCTAAACTCCTTCAGGAAAAAAAGCCTTTTTGATTCCCAAAATCCTACTGGCAAGAAATGAAGTGAGAAAAATGTTTTGCTATAAAGTTGTGTTACTTTTCATATAAAATGATTACAAAGGTGAAACCAAGCTTTCCAGGACAAAGTCAAGAGTCAGAGTCATTTCCTGGCAGGAGTAGGACTGAGTCCTTCTAACACTTGCCTAATGATTTTAGGATCACTTGTGGTTCAGTAACTTGTGCATGACTTTCATTTTCAACAACTTTTTATGTATTTAGTACAAGGTCTCACTACACAGATCAGACTCATAGTGATGCTCCTGTTTTTCAGCCTTGAAAGTGCTGGGATTACAGATGCGCGTCACCACACCCAGTCTCAGTTGCAGGCTCAGCATGCCGCGGTGTTGGGGTCGGCAGGGCAGGCCAGGGATCAAACCTCCAGCCCCTGCGTATGCCTAAGCAGGTGCTTTAATCCACTGAGCTATCTGGCCTTCATTTTCGTTTTGAGTTTTTTTTTTTTTTTGTTTTTTTGTTCCTTTTGGGGGAACCGGGGATTGAACTCAGGTCCTTGCGCTTGCCAGGGAAGCACTTATTCCACTGAGCCATCTCCCTGGCCCTCATTTTCAACAACTTTGAGCCCAAATATCCCTTGGAATTTCCTATCGGTCCCACAATGGTAAGCTGGATATGGGGAGTGGCCCTAACTAGTCCTGTTAGGCCTGTGGTTCAGAACTTGTATTTGTGAGCTGTGCCTGGGGCTGGGGGTGTAGCTCAGTGGTGGACATCTTACCTAGTATATGCCAGGTCCTGGGTTCAATCCTAGGCACTGGGGGAGAGGGAAAATCGTACCTAGGAGTCTCTCATCTGTCCCTAGACTTAGATAATAAAATTTGGAAGGGGCCGGGGAGATGGCTCAGTGGAATAAGTGCTTCCCTTGCAAGTGCAAGGACCTGAGTTCAATCCCCGGTTCCACCAAAAATAAATAAATAAATAAAAAATAAAATCTGGGACTTCTGGGCTCATAATGTACTGGCATGAGGCTTCTGTACCCTTGGGAGGAAGGAAATCCCTGGGGGTCAGCGGGCAGACAGGGAGCCGCATGCAAGGCAGCACTGAGCTTGCTCCTGGCATTCACTTTGTGCTGTCCCTTCCTACCATGCATCAGGGTGGACATCTGTGATCAGAACTAGTAAGAAGTAATGGTACATCCCTTCAGTGATTACAAAGGACTGCGCTTCTACCCTGCTTGTCCCTTTGTCTCTGATCCCTTGTTCTGGTGGAAACCATGCCCTTAGCCATCCAGTGGAGGGATCCCAAACCCAGAACCAAAACAAGAGGAACACATTTGCTAGAACCATCAGACTAGAACTTTAAAGCTTTATCCAAGAGGCCTATGTTATAGACAGCGAAATTAGAAATTGACAGGCAGTCAAAGAGGGATGGGGCCTCTAAGGGAGTCAATGCAGAAGATGAGACACACCAAGCTTGTGGCTGAAGGCCAATCTGAAGAGAGCCACGCAATGGAGCTGGTGAGATGGCTCAGTGGTCTAAGGCACCTACTTAGAACAAGCTTAGCAAAGCAGAGGGCCCGCGGTTCAATCCCCCAGCACCACATGCCAGCCAGCCCTGCCCCCTGGTGGGCTGAGCTGGCCACACACACACACACACACACACACACACATAAATAAAATTAAAAAGAAAAAAAAAGAGAGCCACGCAGGCCTCATGATGGAGACTCAATATCCAGTTTTTTAAACTGGATAAGCCTCCCTAGACATAAAGAACAGCTGGAGATTATACTGCAGTTAGCACCACCTGGTCGAGCAAGCCTAGCCATGCATCAGACACCTAGGGGGGTGGCCAGACCATCTGAACCCATATTCCCGTCCCTTTCCAGGAATGCCTTTGTTCTGAGATGATATAATGAGCTAAAGTTAACGATGTTCTCCAGATACCCTTGCTACATGCCTTGTTCTCCTAGTGGATCAACAGTAACTAAGCTACTACACTTTCGATTCTGTAGGCTGATCGTAGTTCAGCCCACATTTCGGTTTTGCTGTACAGAATACCTCCAACAAGGAGTCTCACTGGCCACCAACTCAGGACCTTTCTTGGAAATCCAGCAGCTGTTCTTTCCAATAAAACAACCTCCTCTTAGGTTTACAACTGTTGTGAGACCACAAATTTGCACATCTGACAGTTGACAGGTTAAATGTTTCCCTGTCACACCTAAGGGTGCACTGAGTTAATCCTCT